TTTATTTTTATTTTATTTTGTTTTTTTCTTTCTTTTTTATATATTTTTTTCTTTCATTTTTTCTTCCTTTTTTCTTTTTTTTCCTTTTTTTTCCTTTTTATTATTATTATTATTTCCCCCCCCCCTTTTTTTTCTTCTTCTTATTTTTCTTATTTTTCTTTTAGGTGTCATTTTAGATAATTTAGGTTTTAGGATTTAGGATTTAGGTAAAATGAGTTAGAAGGGACAAATACAGCACGTCCGGTCAAAGCTGGCCAGATGTTTGGCTGTTATAAATAAAGCCCGAAACTTTCTAACCAAACAAGCTTTACACACATTATACTGCTCATTGTTTCAGCCCTATCTAACCTATTGTGTCAAAGTGTGGGGTCACAGGGTTAGGGTTAGCAATACGAGTATCGAATAACAAACTTTATAGAGATCACACTCACTGTTTATTCCTTGATTCAAGAGTTCTCAAATTTGTAGATCTGATCAATTTCAGAACTGCTCAAATTCTTCATAAAGCAAGAAATAACTTACTTCTTGCACACATACAACAAGTGTTTTCTGATAGAAATGGAAAATATCATCTAGGAGGAAAATTACATTTCAAAACTAAGTATGTTCGAACAACAAAAATAAGCTTTGATTATCAATCAGCGGAGTGAAGCTCTGGAACAGTTGGCCTGAAAACATTAAAACATGTAAAAGCATCCAGCAATTCAAAAAAGAATATAAGAAAAGTATTTTTAGATGTATACAAAAGTTGGTATACTGTTTGTCTTACTGTAAATAATTGTCCTTTACCACCATGACACATGTAACTGAGGGCTTAATAAGCTTATCCTCATCCTACTCCTTTTTGAAACATGATGCATGTTTATGAAGCATTCAATGTAAAGATTGTTAAATCATATCATATTTCAAAATAAATTAAATGATATTAAATGAAAGACACGGTTACAGAAGCTGCCCATCATGACCCCATAACTCAAACAAAAAAAACCCGTAAATGACTCAAGTTTCCTTCAGGGATCGGGGTTCCTACCCTGAATCTTGGGGTACTTGGCCATGAGCAGGAGCCCCCATCTCAGAGTGGTGGACGTGGTCTCGGTTCCAGCGTTGAACAGGTTTGAGACGGTCACCAGAAGGTTTGAGTCATGGAAGTGGCTGTCGGTGGCCCCAGATTCCTGCAGAAACATGGAACAACCTCATTATCGGATGGAAACTTCCCGCCATTAAACGGCCATCACTGAGACCGGATGTCATTTCCTCTATCGGTGAGAGTTCGGTGACTTTTTCCGGCTGTGGGATGTGTAACCGGGAAGTAAAGCGTCAATCAGACATGCTGAGTGCAGATCTCAGGATGCTTAATTACAGTTTTGCTTCATGGTTACATCTTAATAAACACCACAGTTTTATGAGAGAGACACCAACATGTAAACTGCACACAGAAAGGCCCCAGAACTTTTGATGCATTTCTTAAAGCACGCTAAATTGATTGTATTTCTTATTTTAATTTTTGTAATCTTTTTGTAATTTAAAAAAAAAAGCAATTTTTTGTAATTATTTTGCATTTTTTTAATAATTTTTTTGTAATTTTTTTGGTAACTCTTTTGGTAACTTTTTTGGTAACTTTTTTGTAATTTCTTTGTAATTTTTTTGTAATTTTTTAGTGATTTTTAGCCATTTTTAACCATGCTAAAGTTAGTTACCAGAGCCCAGCTGTTATCCTTTCACCGTTTCTTTTCCATCGTTTGACATCGAGGCTGCGCGGATTCAAATCCATTTTCCGTGTCTTTATGCTAATGCTAAACGCTAATTCTCACCTCCAGCTGTTGCTGGCGGACCAGATACGCGTCCACAAAGCCTCTGCACATCTGGGGGTTCAGGGTCTCCCTCAGCTTGTTCAAGAGGACTGAGTTCTGCTTCCTGGTGGTGGTAACCAGGTTGAGGTACTCCTTGCTCGGTCCAAACCAGGCAGACAACAAGGGAAAGGCGCTGTAGACCTGGAACATGTTCAGAGGTTTTCGGAGGTTAGAGAGCACGTGTCAGAGTTCAGGCCTGCTGTACTTTGGTGGGTGGTGGTACCTCCAGGGAGGCAGAGCCAGTGAGCTGGATACTTCTGTTTGTGCGGTCCACCAGAGAGGTGAACTCCGGGTCGTCGTACTCGAACCTGTTGCCGTAAACCATCGAGCAGATGATGTTGGAGACGGCACAGTTCAGATGCATGGTGGTTTCGAAAGGTTTTCCTGGAAGTGGAGAATAAAATCAGAGGTACGGGTGACGTTTCAAAGACGTAGATTCTGCTCAATCCCTAAAAAATTACCTTTAAAACTCTTAAAGACTTCAAGAAGGTGCTGACATTCCTCGAGGATTTTGTCCTCACAGGCCTTCTTTCCCATCCCAAAGTCTCTCAGGTTGGTCAAAGCAAAGCGCCTCATTTCTTTCCACGAGTCCCCGTTGGACCATAAAACCCCTGAGAAGAAACCGGAAGGCTTTACAGACCAGTTATCAGGACAGATTCAGGTCTAAAGGAGCCCAAACCTGCCGGGTTTCGGTGCCTCACCGTGTCCTTTGTTGACCTGGTACATGATGTCCGGTATGTCTCTGTATCCAAACTCCTCGTCAAACTTCACGAGGGCCTCCTTCACCGTCTCGTATCCGGCCAGGACCACCACTTTCTTGGGCCCAAAGTGGATCTGGAAGATTGATCCGTATTTCTTGTAATACTGGAAACAGAAGACTGTGGTTAGTCTGCGTGTTCTTGCTGAAAACATCAGAAAAGACAAGATAGTAAACCGACAGTTTCTCCTAAATTATTCATCTAAACTAATCATATTGTAATGTTTTAACGCATTGTAGTGGGTTTAAAGAAGAATAACAATCCAATTCAACTTCATAAGAAAAACACACTTTTTTTTCTGTGTTAAATACATTCGCAGAAATAGATGAAAGCTAATTATTTCCACTGCTGAGTACCCGCACCATTTTACTTTTGGTTGCACCTGTTTGCCGTAGTTATATGGCAACACCGAACTTTTGGCAAAGTATGTCTCCAATAAATGATTAAGAAATGCTGAGGTGACTTTATGACCTGGCAACAACTCTGTCATAAATTATGACATTAATGCAGTTTTTCATCCAGCTATAGATTTTGATTTCCGATCATTTTTCTGTGCTAAACCACATAGTGACGGGGAAAAATTCTGGTTATAAACTGTGTTATTTTTAGTCACACTAATTAAAAGTAATTCAAGTCGTTTTAGTTCTACATATAAACTCCAACATGTCATTTTGACCCACTTTAAAGATGCAGCTACATCCATAATCCATGCAAATAAAGCAGTTTACAGTGTTTCGTTTACAAAATCTGATTTTTTTTTAACTCTTTGCACACTTATAACGGTTTAAAGTTAGAAACCACAGAAGGTGACCTGGTTTTTAAATGACTTCCTCACCTCCATCAGCGTTTTGCTAGGGCTCTTCAGGTCGATCTGCAGGATATTCCCCAGCAGTGGAAGGGTTTTGGGTCCCGGCGGCTCCTTTCCCTCCGCTTGGAACCTGGAAAACATCAAATAGACGCACAAAAGGACGACAAAACCCCCCAGCAGAGAGGACAGGCTCAAGGACTGGAGCAAAGCCTCCAAAATCGCCATGATTTCGACCCAGTGCCCTTTCCTCCAATCTAAGAAAAGTCACTGTGAGCAAGCGCTCCTTTGTCAGCCCCTTATTTAATTCCAACCAGGAGAGGGATGTCAGTGATAGATGCTGAATCATTGAGTAAATCATTGCTTCAGCATTTGGCCCTTTGATCCGTGTCAAAGTTGAGATTTTGTTCGATTCCCATATGAGGGGATGTCGGGACCATTAACCCGGCGTCGTATCAAACCAGTTTGACCAGTTTGATTTCTCATTTTTCGGATGACCTGGCGGCATGTTAGCTGATATATAGGCACTGTGCTCAGAGTTCATCCAGCTATAAAGACAAGGCAATAAAGCCGGTGTTGTTTTCAGATGTGACATCTGCTGGTACTTTTTTTTTTTTTTTTACAACGGCAGCATTTAATCCTCTCTGAGAAAAAAGAAAGGGCAGATCAAGCCTTGTCATTGCATTGTGATCTAATGATGCAACATCTGTCTGGTGCAGTAAGGCAAGGGCCAAGCTGCAGTTAAACCTCCGCAAACAAGCGGTTGAATATTCACAGCTACACTTCGAATGATCTGTCATAATAAACCTTTTCCACTCGTTTTTAATCCTCAGGACACTGGACTTCTTACGTAAGAAGGAATCCTCTCTGAACTGGCAACTTTATGGGAAGAACATATTGTGGGGTTTTCCCCTTTAAAAAGGACATGACATTTGTTCTTATTTATTTAGTGTGATTTCTAAAGAAGGCTGTTAGCTAAAAACTTGGCATATCTCTCACAGATTATTTTTAACCCTGTAATGCCAAATGTGTCATATTTGATACGGTTTATGAAATGTTTTGCATACTTTAATGGTAAAAACTTTGCTCAAAATCCTATTGTACACAATCAGAAACACCTGATAACAGGGGGCAGAAGACTACACAAAAAATAATCTTGACTTATCACATCGTAATCAATTATTAATATCAAAAATGTATTTTTTTTTTAAACGTATTTTGTTAAAAGGCCAAATAAAGACTTAAAACAAAAAAAAAGTAATTTTCTGTTTTGTTTTATTTTTGGATCGGGCTTTAAAGGGTTAAAGGCCGGCCTTTTTCACTCATATTTAAACTTCACCCATTATTCTCAAACCTCCTTTTTTAAAATCTTTCTTATTTAGCTGATCATTGTCTGTGAGATTGCTTCTGTCCAGAAGGGGGAGTTGATTACCCCCATGGCAGCATATTCAGGCCAGAGCTGACCCAAATGTCTCATGTTAGCTTGACCCAAAAGCTCTGACCTGGTTTGAGTCCACAGGCTGACCAGAACCAAAGCGATAGCCTTTCTCTCCGTAGTGGAGAGGAAATAAAGGCTTTGTGAGCTGCATTAATAACCGGAATAAAGGTTTGTGTGTGTTCCTCTGTTTTTTTTTGTGTGTGTGGTTTTCTGTGGAGGCTGTCGAATAACCACAAGTGACTAAAGCGGAAAATCGTCACGATGGGGAACTTGGTGGAACCTGAAAGGAAGTGTGCTCTGCTGTCACCTGATATTTACCACAGCGGCAGCCACTCGAAGAGAAGAAGAAACACAATGACTGGCTTTGGATGGATGTGTCGGTATCTGGTGCTCATGCTCCTGTTTTCAGGTAAAAGCGCGTCTTTCTAGTTCTTTTTGTTTTTACAGCGTTAGAATTGGGCTATAATTACTCACTTTAGCATTGTATGCTATCATATAATCTATGTAAATTACTGATTGTCTTATTTCTTTTAGGACTATTCTTTTGTGTTAAATTCTCTGGCTTTAACCACGGATTCTCCTTTTACTCTTTTTGTCTCTCTGTTGCTTTAGACACGTGTCATTAGGTCAACACACACACACACACACCATTTGTTACCACATTCCTGTCACCTGCATGAATTAGGACCTGGCCTGTTCCTGCCCAGAGGTAACTGACCAATAGGACTTGGTTGTGTCCAGTCCTCCTTTGAGGAGGCGGATGGAGCCCAGGAGATAATGCCCATCACCCAGATCTCAGGGCTCTTTGAGACCCAGAGAGAGGTTTTAGTCTGTCAGAGCCCAGCTCATACACTTAACTGTGTCCAATAAATGTAATTTTTTATACTTTTGAACCACTCTGGTTTATTCTCAGGTTTCCAACTAAAGAATCGGGCTAACAACAGTTTCAGAAAAGCACGCTTGAGATGTGTTGCTTCCTGGAAAGTCCTCACCATCCGTGCTGTGTGAAGACGTACTCATGTTTTTAATTTTATCTCAACAGCAACAGAAGAAAACGATTCCTCTTCCGTCATGGTCAGAGCAGGAGGCGACGCGGTTTTGTCCTGTGAGAGATTGGACCATCCGGTTAGTTGTGAGAACACCAACTGGGCGTTCAGCGATGGACAGAGAGGTAGCACGGAGCTGGTGAAAAACGGGAAGATTAACCACAACCAGGAACCCCCAGCTGATCCAAACAGGCTGAGAGTAACTTCGAACTGCTCTCTAATGATTCATGGAGTCACAGCTGGTGACGGTGGGCAGTATCAATGCAACCAGTTTCCACCAAGAAATGAGAAACATACAAACGAAGTGTATTTGTTAGTTGTTGACAGTAAGTTACTAATTATTCACCTCTTTCAGAGCTGAAATTGGACTGTAAAAGCATCAACTCTTGCCTTTTCTTTTCATTCCCCAGTTACCGAAAAGAGGGAGCCCAATGGGGTGACCATAACATGTTCTGTGTCGACATACAAGAGTTGGGAATTCAAAGTGAAATGGCTTTTTAAAGGTCAGAATATCGATGATCACCACAAAGAGTTGAAGGTGACGAAGACAGATTGCTCCGCCAGCATCACCTTCCAGTCATCCCATTTTCTTAACCAGTCCCAAAAATATGAGCTGCTGAAGTGTGAGGTGGGTGCAGACGACAGGAGCGAGAAGTTCGACGTCTTTCCCCCGAGCTCAGGTCCGAACGATCGCTTTACCTCGCTACGTTTGCCTAACATTAGCCACAAAATTGCGTCAATGACTTTTTCTAATGTATTTCAAAAGGGGACAAGACGTCTGGAAACAACAATGCATCATCACAACCATCGTCTGGTATGTTTCTTTCTCCTTTCCACTGTCTTTCTCTATCAGAACGTTCTGGGTTTAAAAGTAGAGCTGCAAATTGAATTCTATTCAATTCAATTCAATTTTATTTATATAGCCCCACATCACAACAACAGTTATCTCAGCGCTTTCCAAACAGAGCAGGTCAGACCCTACTCTGAAGTTAATTACAGAAACCCAACAATTCCCACCATGAGCAAGCACTAGGCGACACAGGCAAGGAAAAACTTCCTTTTAACAGGCAGAAACCTCGAGCAGAACCATGGCTCAGGGTGGGCGGCCATCTGCCTCGGCCTCTTTATTTAACATAAAATACTGTCTTATCTCACAATTAGGTGCTAAGATTTACGAAGACAGGCAAAAATAGTCGTATCTAATGCAAAAAGTCTGAACCTCTCCTTGTAAATTCCTAAAGGAGTCTTCAGGAGCAGCTCTCCAGGCTCCTTGAAGGACGTCCCAAAGCTCGCAAATAGCAAGCTAGCAACAAAGGTCCTGAAGATACAAGTTAAAAAGCCTTTTTTGTCATTATTTTTTATACTAAGTGTAACCTGCTGGCTTGGTTACTGCCTAATGCCTTAACAAACCATCCTCAGGTCCAAGAACTTCACTGAAATATACAGAAAGAATTGTTTGAGTATGAAATGAAGGACCTCTAGAAAGAGAACCGTCCGTCAACAGGAAGTGAAAAATGACGAAATTGTGGGCGGATCAAGAGTTTTACCCAACTTCTTGTGATATTAATCGCTGCACTTTCAGTTGTCTTTTTTTTCTTGTTGTTGGACGTCGAACAGAAAGCTGAAGTCGTACATGCTCTCCCCCCTTTTTCAGGCTGGTGGTGGGTTTACGTGTTAGTTTCTGTGGCTTTGGCAGCTCTGCTCACAGCCGTGCTGCTGCTCATAGGCCGGAGGAAAAACAAAGGTGGGAACATTCAGCCCAAGCTGTAAAACATCTCCACAAAGTGGAAACTAAAATAATTTTTTTCTCTTTTTGCCACTTAGGAAAGAAAATACAGACAGAAGAAAAACTTGTGAGTTTGGAAAATACAGGAGATAATACAACTTTGACTGTTTGTAGGAGTTGTTTCTGATACTAAATATATCTTTATTTAAAAAAAAAGCTCATCTGAAGGCTGAAGACAGGAAACTGGGTGGTTTTATGCGCTTGGAGGGCTTGAACCTATTTTTGTGATGACTATTGTGAGGTTGAAGCCACCGGAAATGAAGCCATCTTGTAAACTCAGCTTTCTCATGAAATCTAACTGAATTTTATTGGTTTATTTTTAGGGGTCGAACTTCATCCCGGAAGTTGCTCATTGTGATCAAGAAGGCGGTCAGCACACAGTGAGCGCACACACACACACACACATTACACAAATAAGCCCGAAATAAGATTCTTACTCATATTTCAGCTCATCCTGTAAGACACTGACTCATAACCTGTTTACAAAGAATTCCAACATGTTTCTGAAGTACATTATAAATAAGTCTCTGCCCACATGATGTTACGAACTCATTAAATGTTTGTTATTTTGCAGACTGATTCCGAAGATGGGCCTTCATACTCCACCATCGTCCACATCAAGAACAATAGCAAAGTACGTTTTCTTCAAAAACTGAATAAAAAGGCCGCTTTTCCCCTGTGCATTGCCCTCCAATCTTTACAGTGTTTTGTGTGCTGTTTTGTGATCTGATTACTGCACAGGTCCGCCGTAATGACTCCGCCGTGACCTACAGTACGGTCAAAGTGGGCGCGTCCACTGACCCCAGCGGCCTCTACGCGTCCATTAATTAAGCAAGCAAAGAAGATACCACAACTAATGTGTGTTTAAGAATGACACATTCACCGATTGGGACAGTTAAAAGGAGCATAGGCCAGTCCTCCCTGTATTTCTGAATAGTGTGTATTTGTCCAGAAGGGGGAGATGTAAGTCTGGTGACAGTAACCCAACGTTTCCAATCCCTATTGCCATTTAAATATGACTTCTGTAGCATACTGAATTGAATGTATTTATATGTTATTGTACTGATTCATGCAACTGTCTCTTTTCTGTGTATGGTTCAGTTTTGCCATTGTATAGTAATTATTTCTTCTGGAGCTTTTATTAAAACGCATTCTTCTAATATTTTGTGTTGCCTTTTTGTTTATGAGTCCATTCTGAGTATCTGGATGCGCATTATCAACAGGGGAGAGATAATATGCCATTTGTTGAAGATATTTCACTTGTTGGACACCTCGTTTGTCAAAACGAGCCAATCCAGAAGCCCCATCATCCCATATATGGTAAAGATCACCTTAAGGCCCGCCCCTCTTTGTTAGCTCGGCCAATGAGCGTCCTTTGACTGTTGGCGGCTGCTGTGATTGGACAAGGAGGGCAGGGATACGGGAGAGCTTCAGGTATCCGTTAGTAGAGCCGCATTTTCCCTATGATTTAATCATGTGACAGAGCAAAGAAGCCTTTTGTTCGCGATGAGGTCGGAGTTTATGAAGACGAAGCGGATAAGGAGGCGCCGGCCTGCGTCCTGTTGAACGGGAAGAAGGCAGAAAGGAGGTAATGTCTCCGGACTGGGGGAGTGGGAGGCAACGGCCCCCGCAGTGCTCAAAGAACCAAGCGAGAGAAACCGTTTTAGCTGCCCAGCAACGCGGTGCGACTTCCGGGACGCTTTCAAAACAAAACTGCTTTTAAACAGCCGCGTTCGTTAACCGCACATTCCTTTTTACGACATGCGTAATAACAATTTTTCAACGATAACAAAGAAGGTAGAGACAGAAATTAGATATTTTTAAGTGTTTTTCCGGGTTTTACCGTTTGGAAATCAAGTAGGCGAAACATAGAGCTTTTATCTTGAAGAGGACCTCACCGGAAGGTGAGCCAACGAGTAGCGGCGCTCGCTAGCTTGACACATGCAAGAAGAGGTGAAGTTACAAAGCCTCTGGCCAAAACAAGACTCAACAGCCAGAAGTGGACAGCGTAGCATTCTTATGAATGGAACCCACCTCGTCTCACCGAGGGTTTTCCTAGCGCCATGCCGTTTAACCGGGAGGCTCCGCCGCTCTCCTGAAACCGGAGCCCCGCCGGAAAACACGGTACGGTTGGGATTAATAACGGTTGGAATATTTCGGCGGATGCACCCTGACGAAAAAAGTCCCTTTTTTTTTTTTTTTGCTCTGTTACCATTATCACTCCCGAAATGTGATTTAACGTGAACGTTTTTTTTACACTTAAAGGATATACTTTTGCTTTTGCCGCCTGTTTAACGTGGTGGGGTTTCTAACCCTGTCGGGGGTGGCCGGTTTTTGAAAGAACAGTTTGGGATTAGGGTCCCGTTATTTTCTCTGTGAGGCTCTGAGGGAAGAAGCACCTCCAGGACAGGTTCAGTGTCCCTCCGCAGGGGCACTATAACCCCCCCCCTGCCCCTTTATGAAGTGGGCTAAATGTGGAGCTTCACCACACAAACAGCCACCAGAAAGTTTTGGGGCTCTCCTGAGGTTGATGGCTTTCAATTCAAATAAATTCAGATACATTTGATTTCTATAGCGCTACATTACAACTACAGTAATCCCCCAGCTTTCCAAACAGAGCAGGTCAGACCGGACTCTGAAGTTATTTACAGAAGAACAACAATTACCACCAAGAGCAGCTCTAGGCGACACAGGGAAGGAAAAACGTCCTTTTAACAGGCAGAAACCTAGAGCAGAACCATGGCTCAGGCTCGAGAGAGATTTGGGAAGAGAGAGAGAGAGAGAAAGAAGGACAGAGAAAGGCAGCCTACACAGTAAAACGTAGACTGGATGAAAAAATGGCAACGGTATTGATACTTTCTCTTTTCCTTTTGCTAGGTCTGCCTGTGCGTGTCACCATGTGCCGTCTAAGGCTGAATAACGGGAAGATATTGTAGCTGGAGGAGGATTATTCGAGTTCTTCCTCCTGGCTGTCCGGGGGTTCGATGACCGGACCCAACTCCCCGAGCCGGACCGGCACCTCCCCGGCCAAACTGAGCAGGCATGGCCGGTCCAAGAGCTCCAGCGCGCACTGCCTCCTCCGCTACGGCGCCCCGGAGGAGTCCTCCGCCTCCCGCCCCAACAACAGCCCCCCGTCCCCGGAGGAGGAGGAGGAGAAGGACGGCGGGGTCCTCTTCTACGTCAACCGGGAGGGCTTCCCCATCCAGAGCGTGACCTGGGAGCGGATGTGGGCCCACGTGGCCGCCGTGCACCCCGAGGGCCAGGAGATGGTGGACCGGATCCGGAACGCAGCCTACCTCCCCAAAGTAGGCACAGTGTGGTTTTTAAAGTGTGGTTTTTATAGATAGACCACAGGAAGTGTGTCAGATAACCCTGTAACTCCCTCTACAGGTTATTCTTTACAGACAGATTTCATTTTGACAAAGACGCCTGCGTTGTGGACGTTAGTTTTTGAACTATTATGTTTGGCTACAGATAAACTTTAAAGCTAGGTAGCATTGAGAGGAATCTACTGATTGTTAATGGAAAATTTCTTTCTGTTAACCCATCACATGACACGTTTCCATTTCTATATTTAGAGACACAGATGTATCTTCTTCTTTTAAGAAACCGGAACCGACAGAGTGTCTGAGTTTAAAGACGAATGCAAACGCGTTTACAGGAAAGCAGTCTTTGTGGTCGGATTAAAACCCGAAGAGCCGAGGCGGTTTGACACGTTGTGCGTTCACATGACAGCAGCTAGTTGAAGAACGCCGGGTGTTAATGGACTCTTTATGAATGCTGGAGCCTTCTGGGATCCCCGTGGCTGATTTACTGCTGCCCAGCCTGCAGGTTGTTGTCGGCACTGGGCCGCACAGGGACTTTTTCAGATTGTCGGCTTCCTGAATTTACGTGTAGTTTTTATAAAGTGGCGAATATTTGCATCGCTATTCATCAGGAATAGTTCATTTAAAGAATTGTGTGTTACAAAATTGTTGTAAGTGTTAGTCGTATGAAGTTGTTTCCTCTCCAAAAACAGGATTTATGACCTGTTGTTTTGTATGATTCTGATCAGACTGACACATTCACGTGGCTCCTATCGTCTTTTACATACTGAGAAGAAGTGGCCATTTATTGACAGTCCAAATGCTGTTTTTTTGCTCAAAGCCAACAGCGAGTTGTAGCTGCTCTACAGTGGCATCATCTGTGCCTCCTCCTCCTCAGAGGTTTGACGGTTTGGGCTGCTAGCCGTGTGGTCCAGGTGATAATCTCCTTAGCCGACACACACCTCCAGGCGTACAAACACATTACCATGACAACGAGTGTGCGAAATGTCCAGCGGAGTCTCGTCAGCTTCGGGGATTCCTCGGAGTGACGGCGCTTTATGGGCCTCGTAACGAACGTTGGAAAAAACGGGCTCCAAAAATGATCTGCTGACTGAACCGCGGACAGCTGCTCACCAGGGGAAGCTTTGTCCGGTTAATCTGACCTCTGACTGCCTCCCACAGTTCCAGCACAACCAGGAATGTTTGCTGTAGAAGCGTCCAGTAACTCGACTTCATGTTGGAGAATCCAGAAAAGCTGCAGCCACCGGCCATCTTTAACTAAGGGAAGGCTTATGTGGGATTCTGCCCCTGAGGGAAACAGCAACTGCTCTTATGATATCGATCTCTTTGTGTTTGGCCTTAAGCCCTCTTTCTCCACCCCCCCGCTCCGTGTTTTCCTCGTAGTTTCCCGTCAGTAATTTGCCAGAGCTCGTTGTTTATCTGGTTGTTTGGCTCTGCTAATTGGCCGTGTGGTCATTGGCTGCCCGGTCGGCTGGCACGGCGCCGTGTGCTGGACAGGGAGGGAGGGAGGGAGAGAGGGAGGGAGAGAGAGAAGGAGGGAGGAGGGGAAGAAACCAGCCCAGAATGTCTGGAATCCAACTCCCATCAACTCCGCTCTGGGCGGTTTGTGCGCTCCACGACAACCGAGTGTCCGCCGGCTTGTGTTGGCGTTTGGTTGACGTGCAACCTGACGCTGCTTTTGTTTGTGTGTTTGTGTGTGTGTGTATGTGTGTTTGTGTGTGTCACAAAGCGGGAAAGCAGGCGGCTACAGGTGCTGAGACCCTGAACCACGTGGACAAACCGCCCGTAACCAGGGAAGAAGAGCACAACAACACACTGTGTGACACCAGGATGAAAACAGCAGCCTTATATACTAACACACGTGTGAGAGAGTCAGACAAGTTGCAACGTAATTTGGGCTAAAAAGGTTACAAATCACTTTGGGGTCCGAATTCAAAGGCAAACCTTGTGTTTCTGAAAGATGTCGTGCTCCCGGTGAAGGGCTCTGTCGTTGTCAGTCGGCTTCCCTTTTCGTTACCCTCATTAACCAGAAAGGAACCGCAGCCAAATAATCCCTCTAATACACGCCGGGTTCTGGATAATCTCTGGATACCCACCGGATAACATAAAGGGCATTTAATTGGAAACAAAACTCTGAGATGATTGGAGATAAAGCAGGTAAAACTGGAAGAAAAGCTTCTTTTTGACTCAGGATATGGACTCAAAGGCCGGGTTTTAGAAGATGTGAATAAGTAAAGGTCCATGGAAAAAAACATGAACAAAGGGAAAGCAGAAACGTTGCTAAGCACATCTGTTTCTGGTCTGTGATCCAATCTTCCCAGAGATAAGGACTAGTTCCTGAATCGGATCGTTTTTCTCATGTGGATGTAGTTTTTTTTGCCCTTTAGGTCTACACAGAAAACCTTTAATGACATAACTGGGCCGGGATTACGTGCTTCAAACCGGTAAACGGAAGCTTTTCTGATTTATTTCCAGCAGATTGCTCCATACTTGCTCTGCTGTGAATAGAAGGGTTTGTTCACCTTTCGGTGGTCCAGCTTCTGTTGCATGTGATCATAGTTTTTCTCAGTCCTGGGACCCCCCCCCCCACCCTACCCTAAACGCGCTCGGCGTGACAGGACTCAGACGCCAGCCTACAGCCGTGTAATTCACGTTACAGGCGTCGCATGCCAAGGTCCAGTCGGAACAAGGCGGGCTTTGACCGGGCGGCCATAGCTGATGGGAACCTGCCATCCCGGATTAGTGCGGGCAGATGTCCTGTGAGGCCCAGACTTAACGGGATAGCTGCAGTCCTGCTGCGGAAAAGTCCCGTTCAAGCGTCCGAAGAGAGAGAATTCTTCCGAAAAAAGGACTTACCGGGGATGCCCCGTCCTAAAGATGTCCTAACAGGATTTATCATCTTCCTGACAGTCGTCTTTAATCTTTCATCGCCCTCTTTAGTACTGTCAGCTCAGCGGTCCTCACACTTACTACAGCATAAAGACAGATGTGGGAGGCTGATCCTGGATCTGGAATAGTTGAACTGAATGTGGCAGGATTCTGTGATAGTGAAACCAACCGTAAACCTATTTTAAGGCCTGTGGGACAGCCACAGCTTATCGATCAGTCAGTCAGAGGGAGTCCAGCCCACATCTGGATGTCTCCACACATATGGATGTCTCCCCACATCTGGATGTCTCCCCATACTGTGTGTCTGGGGAAGACCACGCAGGTTCTTGGGTGTTCAGCCGGGTCCCAGCTGTAAATCCGTTCATCTCCTGATTGCTTTAGGGACTTTTGGCCTCTGTAGGTGAAGTTTTACTTGGCAGACTGAAATCGGATCACATATCGCCTTTAAATGGGCTGACCTGACAGAAGAGGTCTCCCTCCTTCTGAACTCGGTTATTCTTGTCAAATATCTTTATTATTTTTAGTCCCATTAAGTCATTTAGTCTATTTCCAACCAGCCTGGAGTGCCCATCCCCCCATTTTGCTCAGACAATGCATGATTTAAAAACCCGGAAGGTCAGAACTTCCCCTCTGACCAACACATGTCATCTGGCTCTGGTTTCAGCCCCTTTGTCCTCTGTCTCCTGCTGGCTCAGACGGCTTCAGTTGTGCAAATATGAGGTGTTTTGGACTCCCTTACGCCCTAATGCGCAGCCTCTTCCTCTGAAACTCTCTGTGGTTTCAGCTGCCTTCTGTTTTCCACCGCGGCGCGCTTTAAATCAGACGGCAGCAGCTGATTGTCGCAGCTGCCCGGCGATAAATCGCAGCGGTCGGCGGGCTTTTCTCTTTTTCCTCGTCTTTTAGCACGGACTGAGACACCAGGAGAACCTTCAGGCCTGAGAGCACGTCAAACAGGAAAGGGTGGAGGCAGAGACGGGGGCAGGAGGAGGTCAAAGAGTGGAAAAATCTAAAGGGGAGGTTTGATACGATGATGATACAGACGCAGCTAGAAAAGGGTGGAAAAGGAACCGGAGGACAGGAGGAGATTAGAGAGAAGAGAGGAAAAACAGGAAAGGAAGCAGAGACAGATTAATTAGCAGTCTGAGCGGGGCTGTAAGTCAATACTCCCCCAGCAGAAAACTGGGAAGCTGCTGGAAACACGGAGCCAGGCTCCCCAGTTGGAAACGGTTCTGGATGGGAAACCTGTGAAATCATCCATCCTAAAGCTTCGGGCCATAATAGTAAAAGCTGGAGGCCCTCTCCTCCGTTATGGGAGAAAGTCCTAATGATAAAGATAACGATTTCCCCCCTCCTGAGCCAGCAGGGAGCCGCTTTAGGGCCCGTGTGAGCCAGCAGGATCGCGCTGCCTGGAGGATTTCCCCCGGAGATTAAACGGCTGCTTACTGGCGTTGGCTGGCGAACTGGTTTCTGGTTTATGGTCCGGCTGGCTGCCGACCGGCCCCGCGCTCGGCGGGGAGGCCAGCTGGCAGCTGCTTCCCCGCACGCTGGGAGCCACTGACCTGTTAGTTTTACGCCTAATCTTGTCTAAATGAGGAGCGGCTAGTGTCCGAATGGAACTGAATCATTTCTTTCTGTGAGACTCTTCGTTCTGCTCACATTTTTTACTACTTTTTTACTAGACGATGTCCTTTTAACTCATTGACTGCCAGAGTTTTTTGAGCATTTTGACTGATTTTTCAAGAGCCACAGAATAGTTTGTGCTATGACTATGTAAACACCGAACACACCAAAAGAAAGAGTAGACTCTCTTCTTTCATCAGGAAAACATTTTTTGTTTCTACCTTATTCCGTTCGTCCTCGATGTGCGTCTCACCGGCGACATGTTCTCTCATATCGAACCGTTACCTTTTTCTTGTTTACCTACAGTCTATGCACTTCCACCTAGAGGGTCAATTTGTTACTACATACTTTGTCTAGAAGCCGATATTTACTGACAAGCTTTAGCAGATCGTTCCCCAGCCACTCTCGTTGAAAAACATAAAAGACCTCTATAGACGTCTTTGGCAGCCATTGAGTTAATGACACCATCTCTCTCTATACCTGCATATCTGCTGTGTCTAGATTATTGTGTTGATTTTGAAAACAAGCAGATTATTATGAGGGCTTATTTCTAGGATAATAGTATATAAATGCATGAAGATAAATGCTAGTGATGTTTTTGAAAAAAAAAAAGAGTAGAAACTGAGTTTCCTGTGCCTGCTTCTGGGTTTGTTTTGCAGAGGAAGCCGTGCTGAGAGGCAGAGCTCTGCCACCACGCTCTCTGTTTTTTCTTTGTCCTTGTCTCTCTCCGGGAGCCGTAAATAAACTGAGGCGGAGACCCACAGGAAATGATAGCCCGCTCACCAGCCGAAGCGTGTCGGAGGAACTTCTGCTTTGTGTTTCGGTCTGACTCGATTTTGTCGGCGCGGTTTGCCTCACATCCGTCACCTTTGATATGCTTTTTGAAATGGTTCCTGTGGAGATGAGGTGGCAAAACCAGCCTCCCCACACGTGGGCAGCGTGGGTAAAGCGGTCTGGGACGGGTTAGATCAGGTACAAACAGAAGAACCACTCTCACTTCCCCTTTTTCTTTGCTTTGGTTTTGCCTCCACTATCGGCAGCAGTCATGATGATGTCATTAAAAAAGATCAGGTCTGTTTCTATGTTTCTATGTTTATGCACTTGGCAGACGCTTTTATTCAAAGCGACTTACAGAGTAGACACAATATTACATTTATCATCATTTATCATCATCTGAAAAAGTTTTCTGTACAGGGAAAGTGTTTTTTCCAGCTGTGGTGGAGCACCATGACCATCAGCCCCGTGAGCCGTAGTGAGTCACAGGAAAGCAGAGATCAAAGATGGTGGATTACTGGAAAAGATGTGAGCAATCTGAAATGTATCTCTCTCTCTCTCTTTCTCTCTCTTTGTGTGTCTTAGCATCCAGTTCCCTCCATTCCAACCTTCAAAGCCTCCATGTCTGTGGCCGACTGGCTGGTGGCCGTCCAGAACTACATGAAGGTCCTGCAGTATCCTTCCTCACAGACTCAGGCTGGGGTCAGCAGGTTTGTGCAGACGTTCCCGTGTTTCAGCTTCAGGTCAAATGCTCCCTAACCATTAATGTCAGGTACAACCACACCGGAACCCAGTTCTTCGAAATCAAGAAGAGCCGTCCATTGTGCGGGTGAGTGAGCAACTGGGGTTCATTCACATCATTTTAAAGCAGAAATATGAGATATTTAGATATTTAGATAGATAGATAGATAGATAGATAGATAGATAGATAGATAGATAGATAGATAGATAGATAGATAGATAGATATTTTATTGATCCCCAAGGGGAAATTCAAGTAGCCAAAAAGGAGAGGATTTGTCTGTCAATGCAGAGTAAAACTGCCTTTAAAAGATAAATTTAAAGGTCCATTGGGCTCAGACTTTGACAGGTTCTGCCCATCTTACTTTCCCTTATCCTCTCCCTCATGTCTTCATCCTCCCCAGGTTGATGGAGACGGCCAGAGAGATGATCAGGGAGTCGTTGCCAATCAAATGCCTGGAAGCCGTCATCTTGGGAATGTATCCTTTTGCTGCACACAGTCTGCGGAGGGCAACGAGGTTCTGTTATCTGTGGGAAAAGTCACTGAGACGCCCTGCTCTAATGTCCTACCCCCCACCCCCCCGCCACCAACCGTGCCCTCTCCAGCTTTTGCTGCGTTGCTTGGCAACAGGCCGACATCAACGTTTATCCCCCACCATCCACTCTCACAAGCTTAGCATCATCCAGAAAAGCTTAAATTTGAAATCAGCGGTGTCTTTATGCAACGGCTTCACTGTTTAAACATGAAAGGACAAATATTTTCTCACCATTTCAGTCATTATGCGTTTATTTGTTCAGTCATATCTTATCATTCATTCATTTTTTTCAATGGACAGGCTCTGGGGATTGCTTTATGAAGCTATTTAGTGTGAACTGAGGGTGCTGGTGTTTGTCCTCACACCACCTCTGTTAGGCAGCATGTGCGATGAGTCCGTGAGCACTCAAACTAATTACAGTGTCCACAGGACAGCGAGCCACTCTCACTCTTCGGGGCCCTCAAAATAGGCTCTAAAAGAGTAAGAGAGCTCCTTCTGCCTGTCAACACCAGAGATTTCCCCGTGTGAGAGTGGCCGGTCCCGTTCTGCCTGAGCTAGTTCCACCGTGGCTGTTCTCCAGGCCGTCCGGGTGGCAGCTGACAGTGACTTTAATCGGGACTGGCTTCAGTCTCCAGATGAAAGGGGGGCAAAGGCAAGCTGGGGGTTGGAGAGAGAGAGGCCATAGCTCTGCAGAAATGAGGATAAAGGAGGGAAAGGGACGTGAGAGCCAGAGGGAGTGAGACGTAAAAAAATTTGTCAAAGGATGTCAAGTGAGGCCAGATAAGCGCGTGGCCTTTTATGATGTGTCCCTACAAGAACTCGAGAAAAAAAAAAAAGAAGGCCCCAGCGAGAATTGAACTCGCGACCCCTGGTTTACAAGACCAGTGCTCTGACCACTGAGCTATGAGGCCTCACCTGTGAGCTCAGGTAGGCAGGTACATATTTGAATGCAGCCTGGTAGTGGGTCACACCCAGTAGTGAGCAAATACCGGTCCTACCAGCTGCCACCGCCTCTGTTTCCTCTGCTCTGACATCACTAAAAACCACATAAAGGAGTCCCGCCTCTCACTTTTAGACTTTTAAGGAACCCAGCGCGCTTATTTAAGCAGACTGAGGATGAAAGCGAGGCAGCTGGGCCTTGAAAAGTCAGGCTGTCGTTCCCGTTCTCCGGGGATGACAGCGGTCTGAGTCCTCTCCAGGACGTTCGGGGGTTATCTCGGGTCGGAGCAGATGTGTGTTTAGTGCGCGAGCGTGTTTGTGTTTCGGATGTGTCACACTTTATCAGCCCTCACAGACTCGACTCGTGCAGCCAGCAAACACACAATACCAACAGCTCCCGAAATTCACACTCCAGAGAAGTTTTTTTTTAAATAAAACGAACAGAATGCAACATTATGAGTTAAGTAATCTGTCAACGCTGCAAAAAGCACTTATTTTCAGGGTTTAGGGCCACGGAAATTATGAAAAGGCTCTTTGTAATCAGTCTCCACAGAGCTGGAACTACCCTCTTTATCGGCCATATTTCGGGATCTTTTCCAAAACTACTTCAGAGCCCGGAGGTGGCTTATGACGACGATTAGCAGAGCACATGATGCATTCAAAGACGCCATACATAAAGAGGATTTCATCACTCTTCCTGGGTTATATTCCCTTCAATATTCCTTCACTGGCATTAAAGGGAAATAAAGAGAGACCTGCAGAATAAGAGACAGAGGACATAAAAGGAGAATCGTTGTGAATAGAGTTTAAGGCTTAATATGGAAATAGTGCATCTTCGGCTCCCTCAGCTTTAAAACAACAGTCTGAGAAACTGGAAGAACGATGGCAGGATGGAGTCAGGGAGGGTAGAAAGTGTGTGTGGCTCTAACTGAGACGTCCTCATGGCTGAGTTGTGCATGTGTGATGAACAATTCATGAGTCAGGAGCGGGCTCTGCTGTGTGTCGGCCGACTCATTCCTCAGTCGATCTGTTTTTATTCACCGGGATGGATTAATGGCTCCACAGCTCCTCGGAGCCGGCTGTAGGTGGAAGACGTGAGTCTCAGGTTCCCCTTGCATAAACATTTGGAGTCCAGGCGTCTTCAGTTTATTCACTTCTTCCTTTCCTCTCTGAAGGGGCCGGTGGATCGGGATAGAATCTCTCACCTGGGAAAAAGTACACCAGTATTTTTCTTTGTTTTCTGTTGTTACCAGATTGATGATAATTAATAGCTTTCACAAGCATCCACTGCTGCAAACAAGACAGCATCAAAACGCCTTATAAGGTTAAAAAAGTGTAATTGACTGAGCTCAGACAGTGTTTTTCTATTTATTTGACTGGCCGCATATCATGAGATACAAACACAGTTAGTGTTAGTTTTAGTGTTAGTGTGTGTGTGCGTGTGTGTGTTATCAATGGTCTAATTGTGGACATGCTCTGTGAATATTTAATGAAAACTCAGCATTCCTGTGGCATCCGTCCTGGTGGAGTAGCAGACAGCCATTTTGACCAACGACAGCCAGAAAAAGCGCAGCATGAAGCAGATGGAGGGCTCCCAGCCAAGGCAGAGATTGTCCAGATCCGTGTGTGTGTGTTGTTGCATGTGGAGTCTGACAGGTTCCATCAGTCCTTATGGCTCTGGGTTAGCTGTATCTCCAGCTCGGATTTATGAATATGAAGCTTAGGTTTTTGGGCATTCAGATTTAAAAGCCGGGAGGGTAAAATGTCACAGAGGAATCGCCACAAAGACAGAAACTGGTGTTTGCCAGCATGGAGCTGAAAGGATGATTAGGAATGGATTTACAGAAAAGAGGAAAATGTACAAATCCAAAAGCTTTGTGACTCATGCCCCGCAGACTGGGAAAGCTCCGGTGTGTCAGAATGCGTACTTCCACAGCTGGTGTTCTGCACCTCTTGCTGAGATTTTCCATCCGACTGCATCCACAGAGGATCCCAGAGAGACAGAGAGAAAAAGAAAAAAGACAGAGAGAGAGAGAGAGAGAGAGAGGCTGCAGCCACTAATCCTCTGGGTCCATTCTGACCTGGCCTCACGTTTTCCTCTCAACAATTATTTGAGTATATCCAGTTTATGTCCTCTGGAAACATGGAGCCATCCTCTGAAATGCTCCCCAGAGATGGACACGCCTCCCTGAGCTGTACAGAGCTTTAGCGGCACATTCCCAGAACATCTCGCATCCTCTGGTGGCACCTGGCTGCCTTTGTTTTTCTTAAAAAAACCCCTAAAAAAACAAATGACAACCTTGAACTTGACAGATTCAGTTAGACAAGCGGAGCTTTGGGAGCACACAGACGTGGAATCTGTGTTCAGTGGCCTTTTCCCTGATTGGCCTTTAGATCTAAAGTTACATGACTTAAGCTACTGTGCTTCCTCTGGTCTGACATGTCCAAACAAAACCCCTGACACCTCCTTCTTCCCAGATGATTGATCCGATCAATCCAGAAGAGTATCGACTCCAGTTAAAATCCAGTCCGACAACATGCCTCCTTAACCGGTGCGAGCAGCTACCTGACCAACGGGCTGACCTCGCTGGAGCGCTTCCCCATCAGCTTTAAGACCCAGTTCTCGGGCCACTGCTTCCACCACGTGGTCCTGGGCGTCTACTGCAACGGGCGCTACGGCTCGCTGGGCATGAGCCGGCGCCCCGACCTGATGGACAAGCCGCTGGCCCACCGCACGCTGGGGGACCTGGTGGCCGAGTTCGAGAGCTCCTACAAGAGATACCAGCACACCCTGAAGAAGGTATGAGCCGGTGCCGGGCGGAGGGGGGGTGGGGAGGGATGGGACGTTTGTTCAGCAGCTCTCCTTCCTTTCCTCTCAGGTGAAGATCGGCCTGTACGTGCCTCACGACCCCCACGTCTTCCAGCCAATCGAATGGAAGCATTTGGTGTTGAACGCCGCACGCCTGGGAGCTCAAGAAATGAAAAAGGAGCTGGAGAAACACGGCCGAGACATGAGGATGAAGGTACGCGCCGCCCCCGGCTTCTGCACAGGAGAAATAGAAATAATACTACAAAAAATGATTAAAAAAGGAGCGTTAAGAAGCTTAAATAGACCTCAGCCTGTATCGTCTGGCTTTACCAGAGAAAGCGCAAGAAAAATCTAATATTAATGACAGCTGCATTTGGTGGAGGGTTTGAAAACATTGAATAAATCAACCTTGATGGTTAACATTTAAAATTAAAAATGAATTATTTGGTGAAAACACATACCGATGTTTTAAAACCTGTTTCAGAATCAAAATCAGTGGGCAGGAAAAAAGTCCCAAAGCTCTATATTATTTTTACTCGTTTTCAGGGTCATTAGTCCCTGGTTCCAGACTTTAATCCCAGCTCTGAGCATCAGATGTAATCACACTCATCTATTCCTCTTGATACAGAACAAGGGTTAGGAAGCACCTCTCTTGTGTTTTTTTTAGGATTGGGTTTCCTGTGGGATGACAACGGAATGTAAGCAGGACAGAGTTATTTAGGGCACGACGACGAGGGGAGGAATGTGTGAGCGTAGTGAGGAGTGCTGGGCTGGGGGAGGTCGCGTCTTTTCTGGGCTCGTTGCTTTTTATTTCACCTTTTACGCAGCGTTTGAAGTCCACCCAATGTGACGTCTGAGTGTGGGTCTGTGAGGGACGCTGGTGGTGTGCTGTCCTACAGTATCCTGGCAGCTCTGGGGGGGGCAGTGGGATATGTAGGTCAGCAGGTTTGCAGCTGTCACACACACGGAGACGCAGCCACCGTTGGGTCAGCTGGGCCTTCTTTTAGCTAATGTGGACAGGTTAGCACATGTGGGAGACTTCATTTAGCTAATGTGGACAGGTTAAGACATTAGTGGGTGACTTCTTTTAGCTAATATGGACAGGTTGGGACATGAGTGGGAGACTTCTTTAAGCTAATGTGGACAGGTTAGCACATGTGGGAGGCTTCTTTAAGCTAATGTGGACAGGTTAGGACTTCTTTTAGCTAATATGGACAGGTTAGGACATGTGGGAGGCTTCTTTTAGCTAATGTGGACA